TTAGTTAGTTAGTTAGTTAGTTAGTTAGTTAGTTAGTTAGTTAGTTATATTATTCATGTTTCTTGTGGTCATAAACTCTGAGTGCTGTGTATGGCTATAGCAGTAAGAGAGTTCTGCACCCCACCTTTCTCATTCCCAGGATGGTGGAATTATAGATAAGACACATGTAGGTGAGTAGCAGTGAGGTCTCACGTGATCCGACAAAGTCACAGCTTCTCCTCTGAGCCTGTATCCAGGTCTCGTTGCCTCCATAAATTATGAAGCAAGCTGTCCTCTACCTGGCTCTCTGCAGCAATAGGACAGCTGAACCTAGTCATCTGGATGCCGATTTCACAAGTGAACTCTCTGTGATCTTAGTAGACACTCTTCTCTGTGATGTGCATTCCATTAAAGGATGAGAGCACCAAAACAGATGTACAACAATCACATCCCCCACCTACACATAAATGGGACTCAGAGCTGCATCTTGGTTTTCGACAGATGAGCTGTTCGTGGGAGCTCAACCTAAGCAGTGGTGTGGAAATTTCCTTACCCTGATCCTCCCTCCAAGCTGTCTGAAAGGTTTGTAAGAGCCTCACACTCCACTAAAAAGGAGAGCCGCAGCATCCAAAAAAAATCATTCCTGTCCTGGTCATTTCAAGGTTGTGGCAAAGAAGTGTGATGTTGTCAGACACCTCTGGGGCAAAATGATCCATTAGGCTCTGTGGGCAACACGGTAGGTGTGCGGTAATAGCTAAGAAAGGACACGAAAAGCAGGCACTGGGAATCAAGTGCTCTGCCCTCTAAAAAGCAGAGAGGGGAGAGTAATTTAGCTGAATTCCTGTGCCACAGGCATTTAGAAATCTCTACCCTCAGGTTTTCATTAATACTCATTTGGTTTCCATTTGCTTTTTGAAAACTATAAAGCTAGACTTCAAGAGTTATTCTCTGAATAAGTTAGTCGTTCTTTCCAGGCCTCGGAGAAGAACATGGCGTATCAGGCGGAAGTTTTAAGAGGCGCCTGCAGCTACTTCCCTTCCTCCCTGCATACCGGCTTGACCCATGCCTGTCCACCCCACTCTAATCACTGCAATGTGACTTGGACTCACACTGGTAATTCCTCTCTGGTGCCTGTTCTGAACCATGACTGCAGGGTTAAAAAAATCAACATTTCCTTAGCAACCAGCTTGCTGGTACCAAACACCATTTCGCTGGTGTGATTTCCATCACACTGCAAGGTGATGGCATTCCTGTTTTACAAATGGCATCACTGAGGCTCAGGTACATTGCCCAAAGTAGCCTTGGTTACAGACTGCAGAAATGGGATCTCAACGCAAGTCAACTCCCTCCTTTATTTGGAGAATGGACTTTGAGCCCAAGGCATCCTGCTTACACTTGCTGCAGCAGCCTTTTGCTGTAGGCTGGGAGGACAAACCTAGTCTAAAACTCTTGCATGAGATTCAGTGAGGAGGGAATAATGAAACAGGCAGTTGCATTAAGTCAGATAACAATGAAGCACTAATGCAAATGGGAATACAGTTGATGCCAAATGTGAAAGCAAAACCTTATAAATGTGTAAGGCTATAAACAAATCTAGGACCTGGTGCTGCAAAAGCATGCAGGACATAGAAAGGACAAGATGATCTAATCTAGAAAACTAAACGGAGGAAGCATGGAATTTGAACTCTGACAAATGCAGAGATGCCTGTCTTCACAGTCTTCCCGCTACAGCAGCTGAGAAGAAAAGCATCCTCAGGAGTCAAAACCAACAT